TGGATGGATGGATTCAACCTGTATCATTACTGTCTTTTAGGCAGGTTATAGGTCTAGATCGAGGGTCTCCAACTCCAGTCTTCAAAAACTGCAGCTTACAGATCCATCTCTGCCTGCTCAGCAAGCCTGAATTAAGCAGCTCCTTTGCCAAACTTAATGGCACGCAAAAAATAGCTTTGTTGGAGCAGCAATACATCTAAAATTTGCAGGGCAGTAGTTCTCAAAGACTGAAGTTGGAGACTCTTGGTCTAGATGCTTCTGATGTCAGAATGTTAATGTCTTAGACATTTTATATTTTAGAGTTTACTTGAACTTACTCTGTATAAAGCTTGACAGTTGGCTTGGTAACATTTCTGCCACTGATTTTAAAGAGTTTTTCTATTTGCTATTCTATTCCCATATACTGAAAAGATTGAAAGCAGTGTAATAACCATAAGCCACAGCAGCTGTCACACTTTGATTCTCACTCTGAGCGCAAGCCAGATGAAGTGGATTAACATATCTGCCAGCACAATCAATCAGCTTCTTTAGAACATCCTGGTGTTAAGTGGGTTATTAATGGCCTAATTTCGGTGGGATGTTGTGTCAGAGACATATGAACTTGAAAGAAGTTAACTATACAATTCACCAACATGGCTGAGAAATTCCTAATGATAAGCTTAAAAGTTTCAACTTCTCTTATTTGGGGCTGTGAACATTTAGTGCTTTGGCTTGTATTACAAAGAAAATGCATATTTAATATATATTTAATATTTGATAACATATAAAAATAGGGAGAATAATTTGTTCCTGACATTTCACAGATATAATATATCAGACCAGTAACCAAAGTATCACAATGGGGATCTAAACTTTTAAACTTTTTGCTCTTTCAAGCTGTTTATAAAAAGAAAAAAAAACATATCTTATCTGTTTGCATTGCTGTGCTGATGTATAAAAAGAATTATATTAAATTATTTTGCATGTTATGATAGGGCCAGTTTGAAATAAAAAAATCATATGTGGTCTTGAAGTTTCTATCTGCAAGAACGGATACGATTGTGGATAGATTTAGTCCTGCAAAATGTTGACAACCAAAAAATG